CTGGTCCTGTTCTCAGTTAGTACTCTATTAAACTACTTGAATTATTTCATATTTACTTACCTTTTAAATGTTTGTATCTTCTAGTAGGAAGAAGGGTAAAGGGAACAAACGTTTATTAATTGCCTATTCTGTGCCAGGCATGGTGCTAAGTATTATCTCTTTTGATCCTTACAGCACCCTGTAAGGAAGGTGATACGATGATCTTCATTTTACAGTTGAAGAAACTGAGGCAGGCAGGGTCTTCTGGCTAGTAAAGTGTTCAAGGCTGGATTTGAACTCTGGTCTTGGTAACTCCAGGCCCAGCCTATTAGCCACTGCACCACTGGCTGCCTCTAGTGGAATGTAAACTCCTAAAGGGCCAGCTTACGTAGTACCTAGCACAGAAGTGCTTAATAAATGGCGAATTTTATATAAATTTCATTGAAAGCCGATATATTCAGTATGATAACAAGCATTTATTAATCAAAATGTTGCAATACTTTTCTCACTGCTTTACTTAGTCTACAAAGACTTGGCTTCAGGAAGGGCCAGAGAAAGAAGCAGGCCTAGAAATAACAGTTTGCTTGCTTCTCTACCAAAAGTGACACTTCTTTGTGCCAAGTAGAAAAGAATGCCACTGTATTGGTTAGAATGTGGGCTGTGCTTTTTTTCTTGAATCTGGTTTCTTTCAAATTTGAGTGGTGCCTATAATTTTATTTTTTGCTATATACTTCTGTACTTTAAAAAAAATTTCAGAGACTATTAAAAATAATTTGGTTTGATAGAACAAGACACCACTTTAAAGGCTCTCCAACAACATGTAACCTTGCATACGTCAAAATTATACAAGAGGCTTTGTAGATACAACAGTAGAGAGAACCTTGTTTGGCAACCCTTTGTAATGAATCTAACAAGGCATAAAATTGGGGCATGACGGCTTGACGAAGGTGTTGGCTGTTGGTACACAGGAAATTGGTGCAAGTCAGTGAGAGATTTCCTATAGATGGCTGGTCCTCCACATTCTCTCATTTGGGAATGACATTCTGTAGCATGTACCAGGCCTCAGAATGTGCAGAGCCTCCGAAATTAGATCCATTATCACTCTCAGGAGATAAGTATAACTGTTAACACTGGCCTAACCAAGTGGATGAAGAAGGCTTCTTATTCAGACTATGATGTGCTGTTAGATGGACATTCTATAGAGCTCATCCATCGTTATTTCTATCTTGAACAGATATCAATCAGCAAATATTTATTAAGCACCTGGGGATACAAGTACAGAGAATGAAACAAGTCTCATAAGGAGCTGAGGACCTCATGGAGACAAGTACATAAAAAAGAAACAGCATAAAGTTAATGAATACAAATATATGCAAAGCAATTAACTACAGTGTAGTTTGGGAAGTTAGGCACTGGAGGGTAGTGGCATCAGGAAAGACTTCTTGCAGAAGATGGTGCTTGAGCTGCGTCTTAAGGGAAGAGAGAGCCTGTGAGGCAGAGGAAAGGAGGGAGTCATTCCAGTCAAGGGAGTCAGCTAGTTGCAAAGGTGTAGAGATAGTAGATGGAGGGTCATGTGTGAGGAACAGAGAGAAGAGCAGTTAGGCTGGATTGCAGAGCGTGGGGAAGGGACGTGATGAGCACTGAGGCTGGAAAATTAGGTTGGGGCCAGGCTGTGAATGAGAGGCACCATGGCATAGGCAATCTGGCCACAGAGTCTGGAAGACCCAGCCCTGTCCCAGACTGGGCTCTAACTTTGTATGTTTGACACCAAGTTCCTACCTAGTGCTCTGGGCACTCTTGAAGACTCTGAGTTGCTCAGCAGTTGCTGATCTGCATTTGTTAGTAGAACAAATGTCCTCATGGGGAGTTCTCTCCACCAATGTCCACTTAGCCTCCCTGAGACCTGCTTTCCTTAACTCCATAGTGGGGATTGTGGTAGCTTTAGAAACTGCCTTAAAGGGTTGTTTTGAAGCTCAAGTGAGATAATCTCTGCAAAGCTCTTTGAAAAATTTAAATCTCAATTTAAATGTTAGTTACAAGGGATGGGAAAAATAGGTGTATCTAGGTATATGTGTACATGCCTGCACACGTGTGTGTCTAGGCAGCATGGAGGTCCCTATGGTTTCCCCCAGGCTAGACCAGGAGAGCACAAGCTCTGGCAGGTCCTGCCACCCTGGAAAAGCTTTGAGTATGGGCTCAGTGAGATGGAGTGGGCTTTGAGTATAGGCCCCAATTATAGTTTTCTGATTATTGCCATATTACTGCTTGTGTTTGCATTCACAACTTAATGACAGGCTATAGCTGTCATTTGTCAGAGGGCCAACCTGGCTCAATTTAGACAGGCTCATCGTCAGGTTGACCACGTTTTTTCAGCTGCAGCAAGTCTGGAAAATTATCTACAAAGTTGTAGAGAGAGGGTGCTCTGTATTGGCAGAAGGGGTCCCACACTGATGAAAGCACAGGTCCTTGAAGTATTGAAGAAGGTCTGATAAGTTCTCTTAATATGCAAAGCTGTCTTATGATACTTTTTTTTTTTTGGTGAGGCAATTGGGGTTAAGTGACTTGTCCAGGGTCACATAGCTAGTTAAGTATCAAATGTCTGAGGCCAGATTTGAACTCAGGTCCTCCTGACTCCAAGGTTGGAGCTCTATCCTCTGAGCCACCTAGCTGCCCCCTTATGATACTTTCTAATGTGGCCTTTCTGAAGAGCATCTAGTTCCTCATACCCATGACTGGAGATACTACACAGGTAATGTCCTGAATAACTTTGCCCAGTTGTTTGAGATACAAAACAGATCATTGACTGTCTTCTGAACTGTTTCCTGCTTGACCCTGGGAAGTGGTAGCTCCCCCAAGTTCCCTTTGCTGATCTTTGCCATATTGTGTTTGCATTCACAACTTCCCTGTGGTGCTAACTGCCCCTGGTAATGTTGGTCAGCTGGCCACTGACAGTGTTGGGTGGTTAAGTAGAGGTTGGAAAGCCAGTACACACTTGAATAATTGTGCATTCTCCTTGAATTTTCTTGGCTTTTTTTCCTCAATTCCTAACTTTAGCTACATTAAGTTATCACAGTGGTTGAATTCAATAATATAAAGTTATTCTTGTAGGTGTAACATAGTTGCAGATATTCTGGAATTCGGGGTGCTGTAACTTAAATTTAACAGATTGAGCTGAATGTTTATAATATCTTAAATCTTTCCTTCTGTTTTCCCTTACTGCCCTCTCCTTCCAAGTTTTGGCTTAGTTTTTCCTGAATTATATCCAAAATTAAGGTTGACTTACATTTAGAATTTTATGATGGCTTATTTCCAAGTGCTGCTTTTTAATGGTTTATATTCTGTGTATTTAAGGCCCTTGGTATACCCCCAAAGAATTTACCAAAACTATACTTCCTCAGTGAGGGAAGCTGGAGCTGATGGCTAATGTGGTTTTTCAATGGAATGCCAATATGTCAATTACCTCAGTGTGCATATAAAAAGAATTAGTTACTTAGTATATAGTATGATATGTGATGCTCCGTTAAATGGCTCCTATGGAGCACAGTCCTGTGCCAAAAAGATGAGCCTGTATTATTTTCTTGAGATAAAGAGCTGAGCATCCTGGCATTGGATTACACTAAAATAAAGCCGGTAGCATGAGCAAGTGGTCCTGTGCTTTCAACCTGTTGGTTGGAATGAAAAGATTAGCTGTCTCCAGCCAAGTGGCAGATGCCGTGACAATAGTGGACCTTTAGATAGCATTTTAGATTTTCAAAATGCTTTGTATATGTTATCTCACTTAATGGAGAAGTTCCACAGAAACCCTGAGACCCTTCTGCATAGTTCCGAGATAGGTGACCTACTGGAATCTTCAGGTGGTAAGATTGCAGACTCTAGGGCCATGATAGGTTTTTGTTAGTCCAACTGTCCCACAAAGTGCACCGATGACACTTCACACATTACAGCCTAAACCCATCAAGCTCCTGGCCCCAAGGTGACCTCAGACGTTCTTCTCCTTAAATCACCCCTTCCCTTTATAACGTTGTCCCTTTGATACTAATTGCCTCCTGGAATATTGCTTCACCTAATGTGGGAATCAGTACTGCTAGGTGAGGTACACCAGTAGTGTGATGTTTTCTTTAGACAACAATCTCTTTTTCTAATATCACTTCAATGAGGATCGAATTGATTTCTCAATTAATCCCATCAGGAGCACCATCTTTTCCCTACTTCCAGGCTTCATATCTCTTTGATAGCATTTTCTGTTCTCTCTCTTTGTTTCAGTCTTGGAAGAAGAGGTGGTCATTGTTCTTACCACGGCCATCGCCCTCTTTCTGTGCCCTCATTCCATCCTCTATTGTCTCCTCTGGTAGTTTGCCCCTATTTCCTTTTAGTTATCATTCTATATCCCCTGGATTCTTTCCAGCTTGCCTCCTTTCTGGTCTATGTCTATACCTCTCTAGCTCTCCCCTCCACACCTTTGCACAGGCTCTGTCCCTGTGTCTAGAATACTTTTCCTCCTGAATTCTACCTCCTGATGGCCTTAGTTCCTTTCAAGGCTTAGCTCAGGTACTGCCCTACCTGTGTATCTCATATTTATTTCGCACATAATCCTGGTTTTGCTTCTCTGTGACCATGTGTGCTCCTATTTGAATGCAAGTTCCCTGAGAGCAGACTCTTGTCACTGTTGAATTTATATTCCTCCAGTGCCTGACGCATAGACTCTTAGTAAATGTTTGCAACAGTTGGGCTTTGGACCAAGCCATTGATAAAGAAGAGGTGAATTGATGGCATTTGTTAAGTTGAGTTGACTCACAGCTAAAAGTGAATCAATGGTCATTCATTTTTTTTCCTTAATACTTGACCCACATAATGAACTTTTTTCAAGATCATAAGTTACTCCTAAAGTCTAATAATATAATACTATATTGTGATAAAAAGGTAAAACTTTTTTTTTTGTTAAACTGGCTGCTGTACACAGTGCTGATATAAACATTCTGTGGCCTTTACCTTCTGAATGATATTGGTGTGTATTTTTGTAGGTTTGCCGGAGTCCATTGTTGCAGCTGCTTGCTCAAGGAGTGGCCAGAGCGTTCTCCATGTTGATTCGTAAGTCTATCAGCTGCTGCAGCCCTTTATACTTGTCAAGTGCTTATGTGCCTGAAAAATAAGAATTGATACTTCTTCAGTTTTATAGTGGAAGGATTGTAATGGATGGTGTCCATTAAAACTGTGATATATTTACATACACACACACATATGTATAAGGCCATCTACGTATATAAGATATATATATATATATATATATATGTATATGTATATGTCAACATCTGTGTATAGATGTTGCTATAGATATATACATCTATATCTCAAAATATTGCAACTTTCTGTCAAATAATAACTAGCATTTATGCAGCATTTTGAAGCTTACTAAGCACTTTACATAATGTTTTCTCATTTGAGGCTCAGTCTCGTGAAATAGATAATACTGTTCCCATCTTATAGATGAGGACATTAAGGCTTAGTGAGATTCTGACTTGTCTTTGGTCACATGGTTAATAAGTGATAGAAACAGGATTTGAACCTAAGTCTTTGCTGACTTTCAGATCCCCAAATCCAGATATTTCGTTTGATGATCTCATCAGCTCCCATGGATTTAATTACCATCTCTATCCTGATGATTCGAAAATCTGCCTTTCCTTCCCCAACCTCTCTGTTGACCTGTAATCCCAAATCTCCAACTGCCTATTAGAGATCTCAAATTGGATATCCAGTAGACATCTTAAACTAAGCATGTCCAAAACAGAACTCCTTATCTTTTGCCCTAAACTCTGCCCCCCCTCCCCCCACCTTCCCTATTACTATAGAGGGCAGCACCATCCTCCTGGATTCCTCACTGTTTCTCACTCCCCCCCCCCAATATCCAAGCTGTTGCCAAGGCCTCCTCGATTTCACTTTTGCAGTATCTCTCCATAGTCCCTTTCTCTCCTCTATTACTAGCGCTACTCTGGTACAGGCCTTCAGCACCTCACACCTGGATTATTGCAATAGGCTGCTGATGGGTTGGCCTGCCTCAAGTTTCTCTCTGCTCCAATTCATCCTCCATTCAGCTGCTAAAGTGGTTTTCCTTAAGCACAGGTACAGTCATGTCACCACCTCACTCAGTAAACTCCACTGGCTCCCAACTGCCTCTAGGATCCAATACCAGATACTCTTTTTGGCATTCAAAGCCCTTTATGACCTAGGCGCCTACTACACTTCCAGTCTCCTTATACCTTACTCCCCAACATGTACTCTTCTACCCACAGTGACACCAGCCTCTTGCCTGTTCCACAAATAAGACACTCCATCTCTTGGCTCTGGGTATTTTCTCTAGCTGCTCCTGCTACCTGGAACATTCTCTCTCCTCAATTCTGCCTGCTGACTTCCCTGGCTTCCTTTATATTCCAACTAAAATCTCATCTTCTACAGGAACCCCTCTTAATTCTAATGCCTTCCCTCTGTTAATTATTTCCTATTTATGCTGTATATAGCTTGCATTGGTTATAATTGTTTGCATGTTTTCTGCCCCATTAGATTGTAAACTTCTTGAGGTCAGGGACTGTCTTTTGCTTCTTTTTGTATCCTTAGTGCTTAGCACGGTGCCTGGTACGTAGTAGATGCTTGATACATGTTTATTGATCGATTAATACTTAACAATTTTATTTATGCACAGGAATTGATTTTTTTAGCAAGTAAATTATTCCTCAAGGGAATTGATTCCCCCACCCCCCACCCCCAGCCAAACTGTGTATATCTCCTATATATGTATGCCCTTAGTGCTTTCTTGTGGACATCTCTGTGGGATTGGTACTACAGATATTATTATTATCCCCATTTTACAGATGAGGAAACTGAGGCTCATGGTTTAAGAGTTTCACCTCTGGTCACATGCGCTTCTGAGAGGTTTCCTGATGCTAAATCTAGCATTCTTTCCACTCAGTTTCCCAAGATAGCTGATTTCCGCCAATTGCTGCTCTCTAGGCATTCACATATTGGACTTCATGCACTGTGGCTTCACAGTTCATCCTTGGTGCTTAGTGTTCTGAGGATGTACCTTTCTAACATGCTAGACGGTCCTCCGAAGGCAGTTTCTGGCCTGGCCCAGGCTCAAAGTCTTTCCGCCTTGGTGGAATATCTGTCTGTCCTTGTTCTCCTACGTTAGAGCATTTGAAGAGTACAGGCTCACCCTTTCCTTCTCCTATTAGGGTAGGGCTCCCATGGGGAAAGGGAGAACAAAAAGAAACAGGCTGGGTACAGCCAGGCCACCCCTTGTACTTTTTGCAATGTACAGAAGCAAGTGATCTATTGTGTTTTGTCATTTTTTCAGTCATATCCAACTCTTCGTGACCCCATTTGGGGTTTTCTTGGCAGAGATCCTGGAGTGGTTTGCCATTTCCTTCTCCAGCTCATTTTACAGATGAGGAAACTGAGGCAAACAGGGTGAATGAGTTGCCCAGGGTCCCACAGCTAGTAAATGTCTGAGGCTGGATTTGAACTCAGGAAGATGAGTCTGCTTGACTCTAAGTCCAGTTCGCTATCCACTGCATCACCTTGCTGATCTATTACTGGCTTACGTTTTACCTTTTCCAAATTTATTTTTAACATATTTAACATGTATTAACCCTTTAAATTAATAATTGGGATTTTCTGGTTAACTGAAAGCCAAGAAATACTTGAGGTGAGGAAGCTTCTGTGTTGGACTAGAGGACTTATGTCAGGAACAGTTGTATATGTAATTGATTAGGTTGACCCCATAATTAATTATTTTTAGAATTCTAGCCCTTTATCAGCCAACAATAGCCTCCATTGGTCAGGGTCCGCATGCTTTTGCAAGAAGCCTCATAAAAATACAAAGTGAAAGTTGTTCTCATCACTTGAGTTCAACAGACTAAACTTGGAGGAGGAAAAACCTTTCTCCAAAGTGCATACAAAACCCAGAAACCTTTAGAAGTCTAGGAGAAATATGGCAGGTCTTTGAAACTAAACTGAAGCATCCTTTTTCTTTTTGTGTGAAGACTTCAGATCTGCTGCCCTCTCTGGGGGCATGGGTCTTTAGAGCATAGACCTTCCCAGATATCTCGCCAGGATTTCTGGGTTCACTTGGGTTATTGCTGTAGTATACGATGCAGCTATTTTAATTGTTAGGCTTTCCCCAGTCCTCAAATGTCTCCTTTCTGAACAGAGCTCCAAGCAGTAGGGTATATCTTTAGGTTATTTTTTGGTTAGTCCAGTATATATGTTTATGGATCGTCCCCCCCCTTCATCTCTAATTGGTGGCCAAATATTAATTCTGTCTCTACAGCATTTCTTGTGTCTTTTGTCTGTTGTCTTCTTTCTGCTCAAAGGACCACCACCATAGTTCAGGAATTCTCTTTCACCTGTTGTAATAGTCTCCCAATTGGTTTCCATAGGTTATTTTTCTCCTGTCCAGTCCATCCTCTGCCATGCCTACCAAAATCTACTTCCTCCTATGCAGGGGCCTGACTTGATTCAAGGATCTTCAGTGATTTTCCATTGTCTGCTGGTTAAATCATGCACTCCTTAGCCTGATGTTTAAGGTGCTCTCTAATGTTTCTCTAGCAATCTTTCCAGTCTTATTTCTTACAATTTATGGACCTGCCAAATTAGGATTTTCCTGAACTGAAATCTCCATATGCCCCTGGCCCCTATGCCTTCACGTGGGGTATTGTCTCTTCTGCTTGTGATGCGCTCCTTGTACATCTCTGCCTCTCAGAATCTTTGTCTTCCTTCAAGTTTTCTTTCCAGTGCCACGACCCTTATGATTCCTTTTGATTCTTCCTCCCTGATGTCCCTTGTAACATACTGCTTTGCATACAGTTAGGAGTCCCCAGTAGAATATCAGTTCCTTTTGTCTTTTAGTCTTAGTATCCTCAGTGGCTCGCACGTTGCCTTGCATTTAGTAGGCACAGTAAATGTTGCTTGAATTGAATTGCTCCTAGGTTCTGCCTTCTGGGATCAAGCAGAAGAAATCTAATTCCTCTTTTCTCCAGTAGACCTTCTAATAAGACTGCTGTCAGCCACTACCCATGCTCTCTCCAACCCCAGATATTCTCTTCAGCTTATAAACAGCCCTAGTTTCTTCAGTTTATCTTCATATGACACAATCTCAAGGGTCTTTACCATCTTGTTTGCCCTCCTCTGTACCTTCTTTGATCGATTTATGTCATTCCTAAAATGTGGCATTTAGAACCGAATGAAATATTTCAGATTTGGTCTGACCAGAATGTAGTATACGAGGACCGTTATCTCTGAATTTTTGGACTCTTCCCGTCTTGGGGCAGCTTAAGATTCTGTAGACTTTTTTGGGCTATCATCACACTGTTGATAGCATCCCAGAATCTGGGATGGTTGGAAGGGACTTAAGTGGTCATCTACTTGGATTTCTACAATGTGGACACTGAGCCTTAGCTTGAAGACATCTAGCGAGAGGGAATGCGCTACATCTCAAGGCAGCGCATTCCACTTTTGTGTAGCTCTCATTGGTTGGAAGTTGGTCCACACATCAAGTCTAAAGTGGTCTCTTTGGAGTTAGGCAGAGGAGTCTAACTCTTAGGAGTTAGACTTGTTAGTCCATTGTTCCAAGTAAAAGCCTGTCAGTTACTTGACCAAAGCTGTCATATCCTAAGTCTTCTTTCTGTTCTGCAGTATAAACATTCCTTATTCAGTCCTCACAGGGCATGATCTGAAGATTTTTCACCATCCTGATTACCCCCTCCCTCGATCAGTTGCATCCTACTGGAACCCGGGGCTCCAAGATGAACGAGCCGGACAATGGCTGACTCAGAACGAAACCACATTCCCCCACTTCTAGAAGGGAGAGGCAGGGGCTTTCCTATTGGCCACAGAATGTGGGATGTCCCGACTGCCTGGATGTGGAGAGCGATCATTTGCCTCTGTCTCCCCAGAGAGACTTTGGACCAAGGTGGAAGTCTGTCTTAACTCCATCTGGTTGACATTTCTGCTTAATTGGAAACAGGGATCACTCCTAGCTCAGAAGTGTCAGTGGTAAGTTTATCCCCATGGAAAGAGAGGAGGAGTGGAAGGGC